AAGAAAGAAAGAAAGAAAGAAAGAAAGAAAGAAAGAAAGAAAGAAAGAAAGAAAGAAAGAAAGAAAGAAAGAAAGAAAGAAAGAAAGAAAGAAAGAAAGAAAGAAAGAAAGAAAGAAAGAAAGAAAGAAAGAAAGAAAGAAAGAAAGAAAGAAAGAAAGAAAGAAAGAAAGAAAGAAAGAAAGAAAGAAAAATATAACAATAATAGTAGGACGGTCCAAAGTAGACTTCAAGAAACAGGAAGAACCCAGGAAGTTTTTGTTTTAGTTTATAAATATAAATATATATATTATATTTTTATTTGATTTATATTTTTTGTCTGTCTGTTTTGTTGTCCTCATCTCTTGGATATTTATTTGTTTGGTATTTTGAAATAGATGTTTTAAGGAATATGAACCCAACTTCAAGAGCCTTAAATAGTTTCTTTGATAATTTATTATCATGTGAATTGTACACTCACAGGGAAAAGCAAATTATTTTGCGCTGCCTAGCAAAACTGCACAGAGTTCTATTTTTCTATGTATGTCCAGAATTTCGAAAAGCAAAATGCCTCTCCTTCCAACTATCCATGGATTTGCTCAGGGATGTCCGCAGTGAGCAGTGAACACAAATCAAGATGGCAGACCAGAAGATGTGATCAAAGCTCCGCCTACTTTTTACAAAAAAAAAAAAAAACCTGGGTAGAGTTTTGATCATATCTTAATGGCCGCCATTTTGCCTTTTTTGACAGACCCTGCAGAACTCCCCTCCCCCCCTCTGGATTTGATCTTTCCCAATAGCCAGTCTCAGAACAAAACATACAACCAAGAGGGAGGGGAAATCCGTAAATTATATTTTTATACACAGAATTGTAAATTCGTGTTTTGTTTTGTTTTTTGAGAGAGAGAGAGAGAGAGAGAGAAAGAGAGATCAATACCTAACAGTCACATTTCAATTTTTTTTTGAAATAATGTAAGATATGAGAATATATTATTTTAATTTAAATAATATGAAATGTAATGTCATCTTCTATATGTTTCTATTGCCTCTGGAACATTTTGTTTTGTATAAAAATAATAGCACGCTTTCATCCACATTCTTCAAACTCAAGACTGTTACACATCTTTATTCAGTGGGGAGGTGGAAGAAATTCTTATTTTTGTCTTCAAAATCAAGAAGAAATTTATGAGAAAATATTTTTTAAAACGTGCACAGGTTGACTATTATGGCGAGAATGGAGAATAGTTTGTACAGGCAGGAAAAGGATGTTTTGCATTAATAAACTGATAAATAACTGCTGTCAATTTACTAAAATGTATTTTTGAATATTTTGTAATAGTTTTATAGAAATAAAATGTGCCATGCACAGTCTGGTTAGTATATAATAACAAGGCTTTTCTGGTTTTGATCACATTTCTTTTTCTTTTTAAAGGCTATTCAGATAGAAAATGTGAATATCCAGTCTCAATTTATGTTTAATTTTGCTTTATGGTCATATTTAGAAAAATTAAAGCAAGATTTTTAAAGGAAACAATAGGACAGTCATATTAGCTCATTATCTTTGCAATTAAATAAATGAAGCCTGATATTCTTAAGTTGTTAAACCTCTTTATTTTTTTCTCCGAGCTCAGAGATAACGTGGGCCAAAAAATAAAAATAAAAATATTTCCCATGCATTGTGTGCATGCTGTACATTTAAAAAGAGTAGAGTTTCAATGATTATGGATGGATTGAAGGAATCTAAAGCAATATCTCTCAATCTTGGGAATTTTACGCTGAGTGGATTTCAACTCCCAGAATTCCCCAGCCAATCTGAAGTCCACGTAAGGTTGAGTTCCCAAGGTTGAGAAACATTAATTTAAAACCTTTGGTATTGTTTGAGATACAAGCAAATTTATATGAATTGTTTCCCACTATTTAATCAATGATTCTATGAAGCTGGGAGTGATGTTCTAATATAATTTTCTCTGCAAGTACTATGAAATAAGTAAATAATAAATAATAAATAAATAAGCTCAAGAGGAATTGACTTTCCCATCCATTTTATCTTGTATATTTAAAAACGACCCAATGAAATTAATGGGTCTGGAGTTGGTTAAAATGACTTTAAGTTGCATTGACTACTATTGATCTACTGAAAATATTACATAGTTAATCCATCCAAAGTTATTCTGTGCTACCTAATAGCTTGTTCAGAATTGATTGATGGGATAAAATAGAATGCAAAAATGTATCTCTGTATCTTCTTTCTAAGTTTCCCCCTCTCCATCTTCTCCCTAAAAGGGCCTTTTTCGGACTCCTTCCAAAACTAAATTTCCTCATTATGAGCAATAAGCAGAGGAGAAACACGCATTTCAGCTCTTTTCTGATTAATTGTGCGACATAAATGAGGTATGTTGATTGGTGGGCAAAACATTGTTAACAGTAGATACTTATTTGGAACAGAGTTGATAATAAGTTACAGGTGAATCGATCAATGACTTCCTAAACCACTGATGGCAATATAGGCAGAATTTTCTCTTTTATTCTAAAGACTGTTTGGGGTATTCCATAAGTTTGGCACACTTGATATGAAACCAACCGTAATATTCTGGAAGTTGAAACACAACAAAAGAAGTTTGGTGTTTTGCCAAGTGTCAGGACAGTGATCGGTCCAGGGAATTGGTTCTGATAGATCCAAAGACAATGAATAAATATAAAGATTTTTAAGCTTTATTCTTAGCTCAAGCAAACAGATTTAGAAGCATAACATAAACAGTAAACATAAACAGGCAAGATAATAGCCAAATCTCTTGTAAGTTGTTAGGCGTTCTTTAATAAGACATTCTCAAGGGAAGCCAAGGTAGAAAAGCTGTCCAAACAATAACAACCTCACAGTTTTTATCAAAACATGCCACCATGGCCAGTTCTGACCAGTTCTGGAGAATCGGTAGCGGAAATTTTGAGTAGTTTGAAGAACCGGCAAATCCCACCTCTGACTGGCCCCGCCCCCATCTATTCGCTGCCTCCCATTGAGTCCCAGCTGATCGGCTGGGTCTTCTTTGGGTGCCCTGCATAGGAGAACGGAGCTGGAAAGCAGGTTAGTGGGGTGGGGAGTGAAGGCGGATTTTACAGTATCCTTCCACTGGAGAGGGGTGGGAATGGAGATTTTGCAGTAGCCTTCCCCTGCCATGCCCACCAAGCCAAGCCACACCCACCAAGCCACGCCCACAAAACTGGTAGTAATTTTTTTTTTGAATACTATGACTTACCATGACCACATAGCCCTGTGTAAGACAGGAGACTGCAAGATCTGACATTGGCTGAGTGGCACATGATTTTGGGATGGGAATAAGAAGCCTGAGACTTCCAAAGGGAGAAACGCTTTGGAGCTATAATAAGATTTCATCCCATCCTTTCCTTCCTTCATTAAACAAGAGGTTTTTTTTTAAAAAAAAAAAAAAAACACCAAAACCTAACCAAAAAAAAAATAGTCCCAGAGCTCAGAATGAGCTGTAAACGTATAGATTTTTTTTTAATATGGACAATTCAAAATATGACACTGTACTCCTTGAAATAACAGTGGCCTTCTGCATAGCAGTGTGCAGCAGCAGCAGCAGCCAAAAAAGTTAATGCAGTCCTGGACTGTATAAACAGAGGCATAGAATCAAGATCACATGAAGTATTAGTACCGCTTTATAAAACCTTAGTCAGGCCACACCTGGAATACTGCAACCAATTTTGGTCACCATGCTACAAAAAAAGAGGTCGAGACTTTGGAAAAAGTGCAGAAAAGAGCGACTAAGATGATCAAAGGCTTGGAGACTAAAACATATGAAGGACGGTTGTAGGACTTGGGCTTGGCTTGTCTAGAGAAAAGAAGGACTAGGGCTGTGATGGCGAACCTATGGCACGTGTGCCACAGGTGGCATGCAGAGCCATTGGTGCCGGCATGCGAGCGGGCAAACTTACTTCACTGCACATGCGCGTGCCTTACAGCTGATTTTCAATCGGTTTGAGGCCTTTTTCGGCCTCCCAGAGGCTTGAGGAAGGCTTCTACAGGCTTCTACAGGCTTCTGCAGGCTTTGCAGGATGAAAATTAGGCCCGTTTCATCACTTCCTGTTTTTCCAAAACTACCGGAAGTGATGAAAGGGACCTAGTTTTCGGCCTGCAAAGCCTGCAGAAGCCTTTCTGAAGCCTCTGGGAGGCCGGAAAAGGCCTCAAACCAGTCAAAAATCAGCTGTGAGGCGCAGTGCAGGTAAGGGGGCAGCAGGGATGGGTCCGGATTGTGTGCACATGCGTAGGGGGTGTGGGGCCACGTGCATTGCCTTCTGGGTGCTGGCACACAAGTGTGAGCATGCAAGCGTATGCACAATTTTTGGCACAGGAGCCCAAAAAGATTAGCCACCACTGGACTAGGGGGTGATATGGCAACAGTATTCCAGTATTTGAGGGTCTGCCACAAAGAAGAGGGGGTCAAATTGTTATCCAAAGCACCAGAAGGCAGGACAAGGAACAATGGATGAAAACTAGTGAAAGAGGAGCAACCTGGACTGAAGTAGAAACTTCTTAACAGTGAGGACGATTAACCAGTGGAACAGCTTGTCTTCAGAAATCGTGGAAATTACCTTACACACCTACTGGAGATTTTTAAGAAGAGACTAGACTGTCACTTATCTGAAATGGTATAGATTATCCTGCTCTAAGACCTCCAAGGTCCCTTCCACCTCATTCTAT